CCAAATTTTGACTTGCCACACATTCAGATTTTTAATCTTAGTCTTTCAGTGGGAAGCATTGGAAGCAATTTGGTGTTCAGTATCTTGCCCAAGGACTGGTGGAGCCAGGATATCGAACCTGCCGATCTTAAAGAACAGACCAGAGCAAAATCATTTTAATATATTGATCAATGTCTAATCAAGTCTGAATACAACTCTCAATAGGCTTCCAAGATTTACTAGCCAAACGGAAGATCTAACCGCATTAGCGCTTGGCGGGTCTTGATTTTGGACCCTGGTTGGAGGGATCTGCATATCTGCCACATTCAAAACAAATGATTATACAGCATATGATCGACTTGCTTCACATGGTGTGTGTAGTTACCTAGTTCCCTGGCTGCGCTGTTCAGGACTGCCTGCATGCTATTTTCCAGCGTATCCATCTTTTCTCTCAGTTCACTCAATGCTGGATCAAAAGACGCCTTCACCAGGAACTCGTGGTGGTCAATCTTGTTTACATGCAAGAAAAGATCCATGTAAACAACATGTAGAACTGATAATGTGCAAACATAATATACGGAAAAATATTCTTACATTGTACATGTTTACAGAAATACTAAAGAAAAAGACCTGGTTCATGTCCAGAGTGGTTTCAATCATCTCCTGGTACTTCGCAAAGTCATTCTGCAGGTCTCTGAGAGGAGACAGGAACACCGCCTCCAACAGAACCTCGTAGCTACCTACAACACACACATACAAGAAATCAAAATAGGTAGTGTGCATGTACAGCGACTTACTGCAGTGTACAGTATGTATGCAGGCTCTTAATACATCTAAATCGAGTTGCCAGTTTATCAGGTATACCACCAGCCTCTCTAGGCAACACCCAGTCTTTGGAGTAATACGGTTAAGTATCTGCAGTGCAGGCTGCCGGTGGTAGCCGTTTGAGGAGGAGCTATACACCATTACAAAAGTTGTACCTAATAAACTGGCACCTAATAAACTGGCTTTGTGTGTACCCGAGTATTTCTCCAGGGCTGTGACGAGGGCAGGGATGTGGCTCACAGCCTGGTAGACGCGGTAGCAGTCTTGCAGTGTCGCAGTGTGACGGAGGAACTTCTTGGCCAGACGGTGAAGATCAGGAAACCGCCGCAGCAAGTCCTCCTGACAGGTCTGCCTGAGCTCAGAGTCGCACACAAAACTCTCCACCAGGTCCAGCCTGTACACACACAAAAAAAGAGTATCTACAAAATTTGTCTTTTGAGTGCAATTAATGTCCATAGTAGATTTTCCATATTTGTCCATAGCAGCACCTACTACCTTCAATAAAACAAAACAATAAAAACACACTCTATTCAACTACAGGTATTTCAAAGAACAATGTAGAAATTGGGGAAAATTTAATAAAGGGGTATCTGCTGATACAGATTTCAATCCATTACTTACAGTTACTTAAATGCTGATCATATAAATATGTATATGACATATTGAAATTACAGCTGTAGCTACTAAATCTTCAACTTATCTTTCACAAATCTCAGACACCGGCTGCAGAAAACATGTTGAAACAGATTACTTTTGGCCTGCCATCAAGTAATAAGCTAATATGACCTCTGGCAACGTTTTGTCATTTTGTCATTGACCAAAGTGCCAGCTCTAATTGAGAAGCTGATACCTGCATTTTTTGTGCACCGTTCTTTGCTAGTAAAGGGGACAGACAACAGTTTTGTTAGTGTACAAGTTTAGGGACTCTTTTTTTAGGCCAGTGTCTCTCAGTAACCCAAATTATTTTTCATATTCACACACAAATGTTCACTCGCTTATGAAGTTAAATGCTTCACTGTGATTCATTAAGGATGCTGCAACAGGCTGATTTGGACAAAGAATAGAGTTCAGTAATAAAGAATTGGACCTGCTTTATTTTAGCTGAAACATCTCTAGTAGAAGTATTTGAGGTCGACAGTTGTATTACCTCTCCTCTATTTTGGTTTTGTCCATGAGTGGTTGTTTGATCCATTGGTTGACCAGCCGCTGACCCTGCGGCGTACGGCACTTGTTCAACAGACCGGCCAATGAATGAGCTCCACTGGTGTCGTCAGGCGATCCCTGGAATATGAATTTAAAATAGCTCGTTTCAAAGCCAGTAAAATGTTATGATGATAAATATCTTATGGTGTCTATAGCACATACTACTGCTGATCCCTGGGAACAAAAAACACAAACATCATACACTTTTGATCATTAGAGTTTACAACGCATCTACAAACAACATCCCATGACATCTATATCAAAATGTGCCACAGCAACAAAATATAATAATGCAGAAACTATTCCATTATAGCTCTAACAGAAACAAAAATAACAAAAACAGGTCACAAATAATGTGAATTTTTTTAGCCTGCCGGGGTATTGTGATACAACATAATTTGGAAAGCAGTGTTCTCGGTTTCATTCTCTCGCTTTTTTCCTAGTCTACTGACAGTTAGATAAGAAGATTGATACCACCCTCATGTCTGTACCGTAAATACGAAGCGATTCCCGTAGCTTAGCATAAAGACTGGAAAGGGGTCGACTGCACCTGGTCATTTTGTAACCCCCCATAAAACCCAAAATGGTCATTGTTACACTTCTGTATTGAACAAACAAGATATACAGTGTTAATTAGTGCGCTTTAAGAAGCATTAGTAAGCAGCTTGTATTACCTTCAGAATGAGCCAAGCCAGCCATTTTTCCCATTTCCAGTCTTTATGCTAAGCTAAGCAGTTGCTGGCAGTAGGAGAATGACATCTGAAAAGTTATTCGCTTTCTTGTTGAGTGTTAAATGAGAACATTGATACCCCTCTCCTATCTTTACTCTACAGCTCTAGCTCCATAATAGAGTTTCAAGTTGGGAGGTCCCAAAGGTCCTGTACACGCTTCATGCATGATTGGTTGGACACAGAAAGAGAATGTTTCTTTTGTCATTTAAGTGATCGGACGCTTTAGTGTTTTTAAACCACTATGGTTACTGGGGGGTGAGCTTCTACGACCTGGTTCCTGTCACTGACCTGGAAGAGGTTAAGAGCCCTCACTGCAGCATTGTCCAGCCTCATGTACTGACCCAGCTCCAGAGTGGTCAGACTGAAGGAGTTGAAGTTAGACTCATCAGACAGCAGTTCAAGGAAACGCACCACTGCAGCCAGGCACGACATCGCCACCTTTGAATAACAAATACACGCAGAGACTCTAGTCAAACATTTCATATATTGAACTTTACAAATATTGAACTTTTACTTTATATTTGAAGATATTTGAAGATAGAACAATACACATTTTGGGACCATTTCATTGCATGTATTGTTTACTATATCTAACAAGAGATCTAACTGACTACTAAGCAGCTTTTCATTTTGCCATAAATATTCAAACAAGCCAATACTAAGCAAACACAGATGCTGGGAAACATATGAATTTGACCGATTGTTGTATGAAAAAGATCATTAGTAAGGTAAAGTTCAGCGCAGGAAAGCTGAAAGACTTTTCTAATCAATCCACCCCTCCTACTGAAGTTACATATAATAATGACAAATAATAAAAATAAAGACACAAAAGACAAAAGTAAAACAGAGTCTTGCATGAGTGTTCTCTTATCTTCTTAAATTTTCCATTTTGGATATTTGTATAAACGTTTCATATGTTCCACAGACGTTTGTAATATGTAAGAAATCTGGATATGAAATATCTGGCCATCCTGTTCACTGTCCATGGAACAATACAGGTGCTGGTCATATAGTTAGAATATCATCAAAAAGTTGATTTATATCAGTAATTCCATTCAAAAAGTGAAACTTGGAAATATATTCATTCATTCATTCCACACCGACTGATATATTTAAAATGTTTATTTCATTTAATTGTGATGATTAAAACTGACAACTAATGAAAATCCCAAATTCAGTATCTCCAAAAATTTGAATATTACTTAAGACCAATACAAAAACAGGATTTTTAGAAATGTTGGCCAACTGAAAAGTATGAACATGTACAGCACTCAATACTAAGTCGGGTCTCCATTTGCCTGAATTACTGAAGCAATGCAGGGATACCATGGTCCTTAAACCAGGTACTGGTAGCTTTGGCACTGTGTGCAGGTGCCAAGTCCTGTTGGAAAATGAAATCTGCATCTCCATAAAGTTGGTCAGCAGCAGGAAGCATGAAGTGCTCTAAAACTTCCTGGTAGACGGCTGCGTTGACCTTGGACCTCAGAAAACACAGTGGACCAACACCAGCAGATGACATGGCACCCCAAACCATCACTGACGTGGAAACTTTACACTGGACTTCAAGCAACGTGGATTCTGTGCCTCTCCTCTCTTCCTCCAGACTCTGGGGCCTTGATTTCCAAAGGAAATGCAAAATTTACTTTCATCAGAGAACATAACTTTGGACCACTCAGCAGCAGTCCAGTCCTTTGTCTTTAGCCTGGGCGAGACGCTTCTGACGCTGTGTCTTGTTCAAGAGTGGCTTGACACAAGGAATGCGACAGCTGAAACCCATGTCCTGCATACGTCTGTGCGTGGTGGTTCTTGAAGCACCGACTCCAGCTGCAGTCCACTCTTTGTGAATCTCCCCCACATTTTTGAATGGGTTTTGTTTCACAATCCTCTCCAGGGTGCGGTTATCCCTATTGCTTGTACACTTTTTTCTACCACATCTTTTCCTTCCTTTTGCCTCTCTATTAATGTGCTTGGACACAGAGCTCTGTGAACAGCCAGCCTCTTTAGCAATGACCTTTTGTGTCTTGCCCTCCTTGTGCAAGGTGTCAATGGTCGTCTTTTGGCCAGCTGTCAAGTCAGCAGTCTTCCCCATGATTGTGTAGCCTACAGAACTAGACTGAGAGACCATTTAAAGGCCTTTGCAGGTGTTTTGAGTTAATTAGCTGATTAGAGTGTGGCACAGGTGTCTTCAATATTGAACCTTTTCACAATATTCAAATTTTCTGAGATACTGATATTGGGGTTTTCATTAGTTGTCAGTTATAATCATCAAAATTTAAAGGAATGAACACTTGAGATATATCAGTCTGTGTGGAATGAATGTATATTATACAAGTTTCACTTTTTGAATGGAATTACTGAAATAAATCAACTTTTTGATGATATTCTAATTATATGACCAGCACCTGTATTTCGTTTACATTTTGGCAAACTGACACTACTACTACTGAAGACACAACCTTCCCAATTTTACTATACTGTATATAGACATATACACAAGAGTTTTATGAAACTTTAACTAAAATGGGGTCAAAACTATCGTATTAGGGGTTCAAAAACACTGAAGTAGTGTGAACGCTAGGTGTAAACAGCAACGGTTATGTGTTTTAAAACAAAAATGTATTAGTGTGGGTGTAGCCATACTCATCTCAAGTGAATCAATTTTAAGTGTCTCAATCTTAGTTCTATCTTTTGTTCACCTGTTTGTCCAGCTCAGGCAGTGTGTTGCTCGCCACAGTCTCTCCTCTTTTCACCCTCAGCAGCCTGTTGAGATCCTGCACCACATCCTTGCAACTAAACTCCGCTCTCTTCTTGTCAGAGACCAGTATGCCGCCACGCTGTACCACCTATACAAACATATAACAAATAGAATTGGTGGGGAGCATGTTGCTTCAGGTACCAGTGAGACAATAAATGAGGCAGGAAATCCAGTTTGATTGACAGATCCAGATGCAAAAACAGCTCAATAGGAGTTAAATGTCTTGCTCAGGGACACGTTGGTGGATGTGTCACAGTGGGAATCGAACCCCAGTCTCCCACACCAAATGAATGGCAACTAATTTAACAGGATAGATCAATTGCTTGAGTCACTTTTCAAGCAAAAATCCCAAACTTTAGCTTGTACCACCTTCTCACACACGGCACACTTAGGAAATTTCTTTCAGATGTAGCACAGCTGTTTTGCTGTTATATCATAACTGTTCCCACCACATACCTCCCGTAGTTTGTTGCCGTCTGTGTTGGCTTCACCCTGGGCTAAAAGACACTCTTTTGGGCTGATTTGGACAAGCAGGGACTCCAGATTGGAGAAAATCTCGTTGTCTGGAAACTCGCACACTCCCATCGTCCTCTGGGCTGCGTCCACATAGCCGACCCCGACCACACGTTGTCCGTCAGCTCCTGTAGAAAACCGAACAGCAACAACTCCTGCACAACCCTCCGCTCCGGTTCCACCACCAAACAGAATCTCCTCAAACTGAGTCAAGTTTCCTGGAGACGCCTGAGAGGGGAGTAAAAGGACAACATATACAAAAAGAGATTTTCAAACAACCCCTTATTTTATTGGTTTGCTAAAACCAGAGATAACTGATATTTTTGTTTTAAATACAACATTGACATTTTAACACTGTTTAAGGTGATCCAGTGAACTAGCTAGCAAACAGTCATTTCTTTACACATCCAGCAGATATGTAATTTGGAGTAATGTTTCTGCCAACCTAGTGAATATAAATACATCGTACACTGTCTTTTAGGTCACCACCAACCGCTGATAGAAATAGCCGAGCTTTTTCATCGAAAACAGCTGCAGACAAAAATAACACAATGAGGGCATTGCGAGTGATAAAGAACAGTAAAGTTGAGGTCCAAACAGCAAAACGACAATCTGAATTCACTATAAATCTCCGGAAAGTCGAAGGTAGCTTTAGATTCAGATTCACATACTAATGATATATAATTAATAAAAATAATGCGACCTGGATGCAGACAAGCGGCATAAAATGAATAGATGGATTAACCAATTAATATGATTAAATAATTTAAGTCTTTTAAAAATTGACACTTGTTTGTTTGTTTTTGTAGACCCATACATAATTAAAATCAATTCTAAATCTGATGACATTGCCATACTGTGATACATCAACTATATCACACAGCCCTATGTAGTATTCGTATTGACAGTATGGACTAGATCAATGCAATATGCATTATCTGTTTGAAGCATGTAACACAGACGATCAATATCCAGTACAGGCCATCTACTAACAACACATTCATAATGGAGTGCTGGTACACTTAAAGTAAGACAACAACATAGCAACAAAGCTCATCGACATTTTAATAGGTAGATGGATCTTTAAACAAACAGAAACCACACTGACACTTCTCGACAATAAACACAATACCTTGTACTCGATCTTCCAGTCGTGTTCCTTGCTGCTCTTGCTGTGGTTCTTGTACACTTCTACTCTGTACTGCCTCACCAGCAGCAGGTCTTTCACAAAGGCCTCAAAGTTCAGCTTGCTCAGGACCACACTCTCCAGCTTGCGGCTCCCTGTAGACCAACACGTTCACGTTCATATTAGAAACAACCTGTGCCTACATTTCCCGAAAGGCTCCCTTTGAAGCAAGTGCCTAGCAAGACTGCAGCTAACTGATGCATTTGTAGCTAGCCAAGGCTTGCAGCTACCGCAAGGCCTCTGAGTAAATGCACAAACACGCAACTGAATTAGCTTGCTAAACAGTCAACGCAGCCTGCCACTAGTTTGCAAGGTTCAGCTAGCTATAGCCGGGATATAGAGGATAGCTTACCCGAGCCCAGATTTTTGATGACCCCATTCGTCTTGAAAACTTCCTTCGCTGCGAATATGGCGTCTTTTCCGTGAACAGTGTAGTAGTCGTTACGGTCAAATATTCTGAAAGTAGTGTCCGGTTTCTCCGGCATAGAAAAAATGAAGTTTAGAAAGCCATGCTCGGCTGCACTGTCCATAGACAGGTTCTGTTTCGGCTGCACCGCCATGCTGCAATCTCCCGCCACCACTGTACCCAAACAGGAAACTACTTCTTCTTCTTCTTCTTTTGATTTGCTTGGCGGTTGGCAGCCAGCATTTAGGAGCATTACCGCCACCTACCGGACTGGAGTGTGAAACAGATTATGTGCAGACTAACATAAAAACCAAATAAACAAATAAAACACAAAATAAAAATTAAAAAAATTAAATAAATAAAAATTTAAAACCTATATCCTTTCCATTAATCCTGTTTCTTTCAGATATTTAATGAGATGCTTTGATATTCCCCATGCTTTATCCCCAAGGAGGTTCTCGACAGTGAACCTAAGCTCAGCTTTCTCTACAACTGCTGCTATTTTCCTCCTTGCCTCTACATAGCCTCTACACTCAACCAGCACATGTTGAAAGGTCTCTATACTATTACATTTTACACAGTGTCCAGTTGGGTGTTTACCTAGTTTATAAAGTGAATGGTTAAGCCCTGTGTGTCCTATTCTTAGACGGGTAATGACGGTCTCTGTCTTCCGGCACCCACCCAGTTTTCTTCCCAGACCAACATGATTCTGTATACTGTAAAGATGTCTTCCAGTTTCATTTAGTTCCCAGTATTCTTGCCATATTTTTTGCATTTTCTCTTTAATGATTGTTTTAGCTTCAGATTTACTTAGCGGAACTTGTATATCAACTGACTTTGATTTAAGTGCTTGTTTTGCCAGAATATCAGCATCTTCATTTCCTTCTACCCCTACATGGGCAGGAACCAAAACAAAGCAGACAGTCCAGCTCTTATGATATAATCTACATAGAGAGCTATGAAGACTAAATACCAGATCCAGCCTACAGGACTTAACAGATTTAATACTGGTGAGCGCTGCCCAGCTATCTGATGCAATGACCACCTTGCTTTCCTTATTTTCTTCTATCTATACTATCCTCAGAAAACCAAATATCCATTTCCTACCCTCCACACTTTCTCCATACTCCAATAAACTTTTTACTGTATTATCTATCCGTCCTATTATTTTTAACTGTTATCATTTCTTGTCTTTCCTGAGTAAATTTCCTGCATGTTATAAGAATATGTTCTACTGTTTCAGCCTCCGGACATTGTTCACACATTCCTGTAGGATGTTTTCCTGTAATTAAAAGTGTGCTGTTAAGATTGCTATGCCCAATTCTCAACCTACTTATTATCACCTGCTCTTTCCTCTTTGCTCCCCTGCTTCTTGATATACCTATTTTGCTTTGGATTTCATGTAAATGTCTCCCTTTTATAGCATTATCTCTGTTGCCATTGTTGATTTACACTCCTCCACACTATGCCTTTCCCCTCTGATTTTGATAATTTAATGTTGACTTCAACATCTCCTTTTTTTTTAACTGCTTCTTTTGCCACCTTATCTGCTTTCTCATTTCCCTGAATTCCCGAGTGTGCAAGGACCCACAGAAATATGACATTTTTCCCCTGCCTAGCTATTCTTGAATCCATAAATAAGACTTCATAAAGCAAGTCCAGGTGACTTCTAGTTGTGCATGTCTTCATGCTTATAAGAGCTGACACAGAGTCACTACATATTAATATTTCCTTATCACTAATTTGTTCTGTCCATTCCAACGCCATCAATATGGCAAACCGTTCAAAAGATGTTCTTTTGCTAAGTTCTAACTGATACTTAGGAACAACAACTGCAGACCCTGTTGTATCTTTTTGCATGTCCTTTGACCCATCTGTGAAAATCTGAATACTTTCCTTATACTTACTTTCCCTATAGCTATAGTATACACTAGTTAAATCGGCATTCTTATTATTGCGTTTAATCTCATGTAGTTCCAAATCTACACATGGTACTTCTAATTCCCAGACAGGTCTGATAGGCCACACCACATTTGCGCCAAACTCTTTATCATATACCCCTGTATCCCTTGCCATTTGCTCTCCTGTCCACCCAAAACTTGTTTTTTGTGTTGTCTGCTTCTCCCAGCACGTCTGCAGCACCCTTTTTGCTGGATGGCTATCTCCATGCCCTCTTAAATTGACCCAATAATTAGCCCCCAGCTGCTTCCTCCTCAACCACAATGGCATTTCACCTGCTTCTACTTGGAGAGCACATACTGGGGAGGTTCTAACTGCTCCTACACACACTCTTAAAGCCCGAGCTTGTATAACATCCAGGTCTGCTAACACAGATTTGGCTGCCGAACCATATAAAATACTTCCATAATCTAACCTTGATCTTATTAAGGCTATATATATGTATTTCAGCGATGCTACATCCACTCCCCACCCCAATCCTGCAAGACACCTCATGACATTTATAACTTTTTTTACACTTATCAACTACATATCTAATATGCTCCCTCCATGTTAGTCTCACATCAATATATACTCCCAAAAAAACGATAACATAACTTTTGTTTTTTCCACTGAAAACTTAAATCCCCATTTTGTTCCCCACTTTTCGACTTGATTAATTCCATCTTGCATTTTCTTAGCTACATATTCCACATTTCTCCCTCTTTTCCACAATGCTCCATCATCTGCAAACAATGATGTCCCCATATCTGTTGGAATGTTTACAAATACATCATTTATCATAATGGAAAATAAAGTTGGACTTATTACACTCCCCTGAGGTGTCCTGTTTTCTACTATATATTGGCTAGATAGTTCTGCTCCTATCTTCACCTGAATAGTTCTTTCATTTAAAAAGTCCATAATCCAATTGAACCTTCTTCCTCCAACACCCATAAGGTTTAGTTTAATTAGCAATCCTTCCTTCCATAACATATCATATGCCTTTTCCACGTTGAAAAATACTGCAACCATTGTCTCTTTATTTACTTGGGCTTTCCTTATTTCATCTTCATGTCCCAGCACTGGATCTATGGTACTCCTTCCCTTCCTGAAACCGCTTTGGTATGATGCCACCATTTCTCTTTCCTCCAAGAAGTATGTTAACCTCTCATTCACCATACGTTCCAATAACTTACAGATATGAGACGTCAAGGCAATTGGTCTATAGCTTCCAGGTCTGCTGGCATCTTTTCCAGGTTTCCTTATTGAGTTGCATTACTGCCACCTTCAGGTTTTATTTACCCTTTGCTTCCATTCATACTAAATCTGCCTATCTAATCTAGTCGCCCTCAGAAAACCAAATATCCATTTCCTACCCTCCACACTTTCTCCATACTCCAATAAACTTTTTACTGTATTATCTATCCGTCCTATTATTTTTAACTGTGTTCAGGAAACTACTACTTCTTCTTCTTCTTTATTAATTTTATTGGCGGTTGGAAAACAACAAATTGATGCAGTACCGCCACCAACTGGTATAGAGTGTGGATCAGAATAATTAGTCCTTACATTATGAACAAACAAAAACTCATATCCTCACAGTCACATTGGTTACTCTATAGTGAAATACAATTCGATGGCACTCATCTCTTCTAAATCTAATAAATCAAAGTGTAGACCTACTTTTATAATTCTGAGGGTTTGAATCAGCTGCTTTTGTTCTTCCTCATACTTCTGATAGTGTAGCCTACCATAACATGCTCTACAGTTTCTTGTTGCCCACAGTAGTCACAACTGCCTGAGTAATGTTCGCCTATTTTGAATAGCCTAATGTGCGGTTCAGTCCAGTGTAGGGATGGGGATCGAGACCCAATTCCAAACTTTCTCTAATAGTTGATGACAGCTACGCTCGTTACTGTAAGTACGTGCAATAAAACCTTTGCAAGTAAAAGACAGTATGTAAAGCTAATAGAACTAGATGTTTCAATCCCTTTAAGAGGAAACTCTTGACAGTAGCAGTCGATGTGAAGTGATGAAAAAGAAGGAGGGTAAGGTATGTCATTGGGGTCATCAGATGGGCACCCTGCTTCATCAACGTTTCGCTGATTTAAGCCCACGACGTCTCCAGAGGGCTAAACAGTGTACCCAGTGTCCCAGGTAACTTACACCCCCCTCGATGCCATACCCCTCTATGTCCCTGATGGGCTCTGCATGGCAGGGGCGTCCTTCTCCCTGAGTCAGGCCTAAGCCTGACTGCATACCATCTGTCTCTATCTTGCTGCCCAGTTGGGCTCCTTACACTTGATCCAGAGCCAGTTACTGCTTTTTTCAGCAGCACTTGACATGGACTTGATGGCTTGTTGGAGGGAGCGACCCTTCACCCCTATTTTTTTTAGCAAACTAATAGTAAATGTGGCAACAAATCCCCTGCATCCCACCTCTACTGGGAAGATGCTGATCTTCCAGCCGTTCTGGGATGCTTCAGCTGCCATATTTGTTTTTTTCCTCTCCTATGCCTCTTCACACCCATCTTCCCATGGTACTGTTAATTCCACAACATATGCCAGTTTTGTTGTTGGAGACCACAGGACCATGTCTGGCCGGAGTGTTGTAGCCACTATTTCTGGGGGAAACACAAGCTTCTTATTAATGTCTACTTCTAGTTTTCAATCCAGCGCTGATATTACTAATATTGCATAGTTACCAAAGTGAAATTACAAGTTCTAAATTTTTTGGGGGGCATTTTTCTCATGATATTGTACAAAGAATAAAAATAATCCGTTGTTTCTGAAATGTAAGAAAAGTGTGTCAAATTGCAGAAAAATGTATTCCAAATTATACTACAATAAAAGTACTTTATATGAAAATGTCATATATTGAATATAAATGGACAAAAACTATATTGGCAATCATGGAAACAACTTTTCCGCAGTCGCACCACATGATATTTCGTTGCACCACATGATATTTTCTAATTTAGTCAAAATTTACGGGGAAAGAACACGCAACCTAAACAAAACAACAGGCTTCCTACAAAAGGACTCCATGAAATTTATAATCAAAACAAATATTGGCAGAAATAACTTTATATTCATTGTTTTTCTGAGGTCATACCACATGATATCTAAAAGTGGCAACTACATACCAGCTGTTACAATTTTACATTTTTCCAGATTTGAACTTCTCCCACTTAGCATTCCCAAACACCCATTTTCCACCCATGTCTAGTGCATTCATTTATATCGTGCATA